GAAGTGTTAGGATCAACTAATCTTGACCTTAGGATTGATAACTTTCTACTAAATCACAAATTCCATGTGGTTTATGAAAGTTTTCCAATTCCTTGTGATGGGATACTAGGATTAGATTTTATAAAACAATATAATTGTATATTAGATTTCAAACACAATCAAAATTCACTTACATTAAGACCCGATAATTTTTTTACTGATATATCAGTACCTATTGAACATTCCACTTTTAATAATACAAACGATACAATTCTTTTACACGCAAGATCAGAAACAATTAAATGTATTAAACTTAATTGCTCTGAAAATGAAGTTCTAGTACACAGACAAGAACCAATACCCGATATTTACATTGCAAACGCAATTGTTACTTCTAATAATGCATTTATACGCATCATAAATAGTACTAATAAAGATACAAGTTTAAAACATAATGACATAAAGTCAGAAAGTCTATTAAATTATAACATACTTACACACACACAAACAAAAAATAATAGAAGTCAAGAAGTTTTAAATAATCTTCAGAAAAATTTCCCCAAACAATTCAATTCTCAATTGTACGATTTATGTTCCCAATATACTGATATTTTTGGACTTGAATCTGAACCAATAACCTACAATAACTTCTACAAACAAAAATTGTTAATGGAAGATAGAAAACCAGTATACAAAATTTTCGTATACCCCACTCCCATAAAGAAGAAATAAATAAACAGGTGAATAAATTAATTGATGATGGCATAGTAGAACCATCCATTTCACCTTATAACAGCCCTTTACTTCTAGTTCCAAAAAAATCTCTCCCAAATTCAAATGATAATAAATGGCGTTTTGTAGTAGATTATCGCTAAGTTAATAAAAAACTAATTGCTGACAAATTCTCACTCCCAAGAATCGAAGATATTCTTGATCAACTGGAACGTGCCAAATACTTCTCATGTATTGATTTAATGTCTGATTTTCACCAGATTGAACTTGATGAATATTCAAGAAACATAACGTCCTTTTCTTCGAGCAATGGCTCATATCGTTTTAAACGATTACCATATGGACTTAAAATAGCGCCTAATTTATTCCAGCGCATGATAACACTTGCATTTTCAGGCTTAAAGCCTTCGCAAGCTTTTCTTTACATGGATGATCTTGTTGTTGTCGGATGTTCCGAAAAACACATGATTAAAAGCCTTAAGGATGTATTCGAACTTTGTCGAAAATACAATCTCAAATTACAACCTGAAAAATGTAGTTTCTTTATGCATGAAGTGACTTATCTTGGACACAAATGCACAGACAAAGGTATTTTACCTGACGAAAGCAAGTACGATATTATTAAAAATTATCCAACACCCAAAGACGCTGACAGCGTTAGACGGTTCGTTGTTTTCTGTAACTACTATAGAAGCTTTGTCAAAAATTTCTCTGACTATTCAAGTCATTTAACCAAACTTTGTAAAAAGAATGTTCAATTCGAATGGTCAAAGGAATGTGAAAATTCATTCCAGTATTTAAAAAATGCATTAATGCAACCAACATTACTTCAATACCCCGATTTCAGCAAATCATTTTGTATTACCAGCGATGCTAGCAAGCACGTTTGTGGTGCTGTACTCAGCCAAGAGTACGATGGACAGCAACTACCAGTCGCTTTCGCATCAAAAACTTTCACTAAGGGAGAAAGTAATAAATCTACTACAGAAAAAGAGTTAACAGCAATTCATTGGGCAATCAACTACTTTAGACCGTACATAAACGGAACACATTTCTTAGTTAAATCAGACCATAGACCACTTTTTTATCTGTTTTCAATGAAAACAGAGGAATACGATTTCACAGTGAAGTTTCTCAGGGGGAAACAAAATACAGTAGCCGATGCTTTGTCTCGGATAACTATAAATTAATTGAAAGACCAAAATCACACAAATACAGCTATACTGAAAGTTACAACGAGAGCTGAAACAAGGAAGAATACGCAAAAAGTCTGCGCAGACACAAATTTAATAAGACCGAGACATCAAAATAATGATAAGCCCAAAGTTTATGAAGTCGTTAGTAGTAACGACGTTAAAAAATGTGTAAAATTAAAATTATCATCCCACAATTGTTTCTTAAAGCATGGGAAAAGAATTTTAAAACACATATATGTTAATGATTTAATCACTAATGGAAATTTAGATCTAGGTCTGTTATTCCAAAGGCTTGATCAACAAGCCGGTGAATTCAAAATTAAACAGTTACAAATGGCACCTTGCGAAAAGATTTTTAAATCTGTATCGCTAAATTCTTTTAAAGAAATAGGCAACAAAACATTAACAAATGTTCAAATAGCGCTATTACCACAGGTAACAAAAATAAACGAAAATAATAAGTCGGCAATTGAAGCTATTCTTCACCAATATCATGATGATCCAGCAGAAGGAGGTCATACTGGAATTACCAGAACATTGACTAAAATAAAACAAAGATTCTACTGGAAAAACATGACAAAAACGATTACCAAGTACGTAAAAAAATGTCTGAGTTGTCAACTGGCCAAGACAACTAGACATACGAAAATGCCTTTAACGAAAGTGCAAACGCCTATGTCTCCATTTGACACTGTGTTAGTAGATACCATTGGTCCACTCCCAAAAACGGAGAACGGCAATGAGTATGCAATCACATTAATATGTGACCTAACAAAATATTTGGTAACTATTCCAGTTCCAAATAAAAGTGCCAAGACTATAGCGAAAGTAATTTTCGAAAATTTTATCTTACAGTACGGACCCATGAAACGGTTTCTAGCTGACATGGGTACAGAGTACAAAAGTTCAATTATGAACGATTTATGTAAATATCTCAATATCGAGAATATTACATCAACATCCCACCATCATCAAACGCTAGGTACTGTAGAACGCAGTCACCGCACGTTTAATGAATATATAAGATCTTACATCTCTGTCAATAGAGATGATTGGGATGTTTGGATTAAATACTTCACGTATTGCTTTAACACAACACCATCGTTAGCAAATGGATACTGTACTTACGAACTCCTGTATGGACGTATTCCAAGGAAATTCTATGATTTCAAAAGTGGTAATATAGAATATAGAATAGAATATAGAATACAATATAGAAGATTATGCTAAAGAAAGCAAAAGTAGCTTATTAGAAGTAGCTTATGTAAGAGCAAGAAAAATGCTCGATATATCAAAATTAAAAAATAAACTTAGGTATAATAATAATTTACATAGCTTTCAATTAGTAATAGGAGATAAGGTTTTATTAAAAAACGAAGTAGTTCATAAATTAGAAAATAAATATATAGGTCCATATTTAGTTAAAGATATGGAAATAGGTAATAATATAGTTATAGTAGATAGTAAGGGTAAAGCACAAAAAGTGCACAAAAATAGGTTAAAACCATATATTGGTTTAAAAAAATAATAAAAAAAAAAAAATTTGAGTTTTAAAATTTAAATCAAACTAATATATATAGTAATGAATGAATGCATGAATGAATATGTGGATGTAAATGTATATACTATATTTGAAATAATATGAAAAATATATTTGTAATTAAATTAAAAAAAAAATAAGCAATATATATAAGCAAACAGCGTTAAAAGCTACAATTTGATCATATCCTATTACAAACTTCTTGTTCTTGAAAAGAAAACCTTTCTTATAAACTTGTAAAAGTAGCTGACAAAGCCCAAGAAACATTCGTTCACTGATTGGGAATATAATAGATTTCTTTTTACTACACCTAATACAATTAAAATAATTTTTTTGATTCTAATAACAAATCATTAATAACAAGCTTACTTGAAATCAGTGAACGAAAACAAACACTAAAGTACAAAACATAGTGTACTGTTTGTCATCTTTGTTAAAAAACACTAAACGAACAGTACATTAAAAAAAGTCCGAAACAATTCAATAATTTTTAGAGTTTGTGTACTTTTCACGAAGGTAGTGCTCTTTATAACGATCTTTTCACGAAGGTAGTGCTCATTTTAGTTAACTTTTGCCGAAGGTAGTGGTCTTTTCAGTGATAATTTTCCTAAGGTAGTGGTTTTTTAGCGTTTGCCAAACTAAACGATTTGGAAACGTTTTTAATGTGCATAGTTGTTGCTTCGTTTGCATAAGAAGAAGAAAAAATTTTGTTTGCATTTGTATTGCATGTATTTTGTTTGTGTTTTTAAATAAAGATATTGCGTATGTATTTATTGATGCATATTTAATATTAGGGGATGAATTACATAGATATAATATTTTATTGCGGTTGGATGATTTGTATTAAATTTGTTAAAGCAAAAAAACAAAATTTTGAAATTGTTTATATAATGCAGTAAAAAACTAAAAAAATATTTTAGGCATTTCTGAATATCATATATAATATTTAAATTATTGCGTAGATATATAAGCATTTTATTGTAACTATACGCACGTATATACATATATATACTTAATTAACAACTTAACGATTTTAAAATTTTGTTTTTTTGCCTTTTATTGGCATTATAAATATAATACAAATCATCCAACAGCAAAAAAATATTATATCTATCTAATTCACCCCCTAATATTAAATATGCATCAATAAATACATACGCAATATCTTTATTTAAAAACACAAACAAAATACATGCAATACAAATGCAAACAAAATTTTTTCTTCTTCTAATGCAAACGAAGCAACAACTATGCACATTAAAAACGTTTCCAAATCGTTTAGTTTGGCAAACGCTAAAAAACTACTACCTTAGGAAAATTATCACTCAAAAGACCACTATCTTCGGCAAAAGACAACTAAAATGAGCACTTTCTTCGTGAAAAGTACACAAACTCTAAAAATAAAGTTTGTGTTCGCAGACACAAACTATAAAAATTTTTTGATGTGTTTCGGACATGAACAGTACACTACGATACTGTACTGTTTATTTTCGTTCACTGCTTGAAATATCAAATGAATTTAAATTGACTATAAAAACAATTAATATAATTTTTTAATTCAAAGAAAAAATGATTAATAACAAGCTTACTTGAAATATCCAATGAGCTTTTGCTTTGATTTTCATCTTTATGCTGTGTCTCCATCATATTTTTTGCTAATTCTTCATTTTTTTCTTGTTTCAGTTTTTTTATTTCCTTCTGCAGAAATGCGATTTCATTTGTTAGCATTTGTTCTCTGTGAATTGAATCACTTTTTAACGTATTTATTTCATCTTCTATCTGTTGTATAACTATCTGCTTTTGTTCTAGCAAATAAGTCAATTTCATAATATCGTTACTTTCCTCTACCACAGTATCCTTAATTATTGGCTCTTCAAGAATAGATGGATCTATAAGGTTATCTGGTTCTTCATCCGGTTGACAAAAAACTGTTGGTGGGACATAACTGCCGAAATCAATTTTCGAAGAAAAATTCGGTGCTACTTCTGGCAATATTGGTACTTGTAATAAGTCCGCAAAATACTGAAGAGGTCGCACATTATCATAAAACATCTTAATTTTAAAGAATAAGTCTCTAAAGCGATCGCGATGACCAATTAAGATGTCATTAGGCAGCTCATTGTGTAACTTAAACATAATGCGAACGCTTATGTCATATAATGGATTTGAATCTTGAATTAAAGTTATTAATGGTGCCAATCTACACTGACCTTGTGGAGACATGGAAGACATGCGATATGAATTTATTGAAAAAAAAATTTTTGACTGGACATTGATAATTTCATCAAGATAATCAAATATTTCAACGCATAGTTGAAAACTGAAATGGAAACGAAATATAGTATTTAAAATATATTTTTTATAACTGCGTTTCTTACTATATATTGATATCACTACAGGCAAAGTTTTCAATTTTACTAAAATTGATTAATAATGATCCAGGTAATAAAGAATTTTTATGGTGAAAATCCAATTTCACAACTAAAAGCTGAGAGTATGCTTGAATACAAGCACCAACGCCATCTTGAAGATATCCCCAATGCTTTCCCATTTCAAGTATAAATTTTTTATGAGTTTGAAAATGATTAATACAGTTCTCTTGACCTTCACGTAAAACTTTATGCACAAGATGACAAAACTTCCAAGCAATAAAACGATTCTCCATAAGCGGCTGTTGTGTAAGCAGCTTCCACAGTAAACTAACGTCTTTTGAAAGATGAGTAGTTATAATTATTGAACGCGCATGTTTCATTTTTAAAGGTGCTTCTGTTGAATTTAGAGCTTTAACTATACTCATATTCTGAAAAATATATAATAGATATTAATGATCGAAAATTTACACTTTCTATATATGTTACCTGGATCATTGTATATGTTATAAATATAAATATATTAAATTTAGAAGAAAACATAGATAACTGATTTGAAGAAAAATCTAATTAAAATATTTCCGGTTGTTTTTTATTTAGAAAAACAATTTACTGAAACTAAAAAAGAAAAATAACCAGAATAAAAAAGCAAATACGTGTGTCAAATACAAAATGGTATATCAGATAAGTTTTTAACTCAAGAAAAATTTTTTGATAACTTTTTCTGTATTGAACAGAACTTTAACTAATTTATACGATTTTAGTTGATCGTATAATTACCTAAAAGTGGACAAATTTATTTAGAACTTGACAAATATTGACAACTGGACAAATATTGACTAAGCCAAAAAAATCGAGAAAAAAATGCTGATTTTCGGTTAATATTAATTAATTGTGCCAAGAACAAAATGACTGAAAAATAATGAATTTGATGTTCTAACGATTTCTACACCAAATGCAAAATGCATTACCAACAATCAACCCAATAATACCGTGAATGAAAACGCAAACTGAGTGCAAGAACAACGTACATTCGAAGATGTAAAATCCAACATATTTCTAATTGTTCAAAACTTATGCAATATTATGTAAACAAAATATTGCAACAAAATTAAATAAAAAATTCTGCACCAACTCATATGCAGTTACTTCTACCCGTTTGCAATCGCTATCATAATTTTATGAAAGGTGTCGTACATTTCACCAACAAACTAGGTGGGAAATAAAAACTTTTTTTGCTATTACTTTCGCAACTATTAATTAGCGCATCAAACTTTAAAATGTATACCACAAGTTGTATAAATATATAAATAATTAGTTATTAAGTTCTCTTCAAGTGGAATTGAAGTGAAATGAGCACAACAGTGACACAACAAAAAACGTAAGTAGTTTTAAAGTTATAGCTTAAAAATATATAAATATTAAAATTTATATACATAAAAATATATGTGTTATACATAAATATATAAAATATATTTTTTCAATACGTTTACGAATTGCCAAAACTGCCCTGTCAGTATGGGAAAAAAGTACAAAGCAAACCTTAATGGATAACTTAAATTAGGAGTGCTAACATGTGCCCAAAAAATGTTGGTATAGGCTAATGATATTGTATCTTTCACATTCAACATGTTGCAATGTTGCAAAATAAATAAAAAGATTGAAGGAATATTAGAGCTTGTGAGATCTAACAAATAATATCGATGAATGTAAACTTACCATTTTCAAGAAACTGCTAGCAAAAGACAAAAATTGTATTCGTTTTTTCATTCTTCAGATAACGGGATAAAAGTGTCCCTGCATGTAAATATAGGCCCCATAAAGTCTGCGTACAGTTATAAAAAAGCTCATAAAATCGGTAGAAATATTTAAAATAATTTAATACTTTGTTGTATAGTCACGCTGTTTTAGAACTTCACTTAATCTGTTTGGCATGGAATTAACTAATTTCTGAGTTTCTTCAGCAGTAATTTTTGCCTATTCTGCTTAATCCGCAAAGCCTCTTTACTTGTTACCACATGCTGACGAATTCTTTTTTCCAATAAATTCCAAAGATGCTCAATGGGGTTGAGATTAGGTAGTTGTGGAGGCGTTTTAAGCTGTCTTGGAACGTTGTACTAAAGTCAAAATTTAACAATCCCCGCTATGTGTTTTGGGTCTTTGTCCTGTTGGAACCAAAATGACGTGGATAAGCCCAAATTATCTGCACTTTGTTTCAAATTTCTTTTTAAAATATTTAAATAGCCCCATTTATTCATTGTCGGTTCTATAAATTTCAACTGGCCATCAGCCACCATGCACCCCCATACCATAACTCCACCACCGCCGTGTTTGACTGTACCAACAAGATTTTGTTTCTCTAGCGCTGCTCCTGATTTCCGCCACACAATTTGACTACCTTTTCTACCAAAGATGCAGTACTTGCCTTCGTCTGAAAATATCACTTGTTTCCAGAATTCCGGTAGTTTATTTATGTATTTCTTTGCATTTCAACGCATATTTTGTCTGTTTACAAGTGAAATATACGGTTTCTTTCTAGTGACTCTACCACGATATCCAGTTTTATGTAATACTTTTTAGCAGTCTTCGCACAAATACTTTTTTAAATGATTGATTTATATCTTTCACAATTTCCGAAGAAGATACACGAGGGTTGATCTTTAGCATATGGACAATTTTTCGCTTTTCTCGGACTGATAAAACTTATGGACGCCCAGGACGCAGTTCAGATGTTAAAATTCCGGTTTTTTGAAGTTGTTCACTATGCGCTGGACTAATGAATGCAATCTTTTAATAGTTTCATCAATTTTTCGGAAACTTTTTCCATCTTTCCATAGTTTAATAATTATTTTTCTTTCGTGCACACTGATTTATCTTCCCCTTGATTCCATACTTTAAAATAGTAACTACTTAAAAATTAATTGATCACTGAGATCGCTAAATGTTCAATTTAAATGCTAATTAATACCAAATGAGCAAAAATAAGAACAAACTGCTTAAAAATTAACGATATTATCTAAACAAACAAAGTGTACGCAGATCTTATGGGGCCTATATTTACATGCAGAGACAATTTTATCCCGTTATCTGAAGAATGAACAAACGAATACAATTTTTGTCTTTTGCTATTTAAACTTAAAATTTCAAAGAATAAATATATGTAAAAATTTTAATATAAAATATTTAATTATGTTGTGTTTCTTTATCACATATCAAAATTCGTAAAGTGTACGCAGACTTTATTGGCTATGTGTAGATTTTTGTTTCATCAAAACATGTACAGCCATAGTCAAAAGTATTTACACAACGAAAGTTTTTGTACATATTGCATAAAAACATGTTTTTATTGTTGTTGTTGGACGTCAGTTGCAAACAATTTTTTTATTGTCACTTAGCTTTATCTATGCAGAACCAAATAAAAAAAGAATTGGAAAGATAACTGTTCATTTGACAAAAATATAAGCAACTGCGCTGATGCTTATTAGTAGTCAAAAGTATTTAAACACATTTTTTTCGCGTCAAAAGTATTTACACAAAACATTAATTAGCATTTATTCTAGGATTTCCTTCAAGTAAGTGCAGTTGTTAGCTTTTGTCACAAACTACACAAGTTTAGAGATTTCAAAATTTCATAAATTATTTAGGAAAATGATAAAAACCAATGAATTATCAGTTGAAATTCGATCTGTGGTTGTTACCTAATATAAGAGTGGTATTTCGGCGACGAATTTAGTAAAGTTATGCAAAATATTACATAAAACTGTGTAAAATCTAGTGTAAAATAAGAATATAAGTGAAAATTTAAAAAATTTGAAAAGGACCAATTTGTTGATTGGCAAGATTATTAGTGATGCTACACTACATCACAGGTTGAAAAATATTAATACCAATACCTATGTGGTGCACAAAAGAGTCAATATTATTCTAACGACCTTATCAAATATTCTTTTATTTGCTATGAAGTATTTAAGGTAACCTATACAGTTTTGTTACAATGTGTTATGAACAGATGAGTCTGGATTTCAATTCTAGGGTTCGTTTGGTAAGCACTCCATGCATTTTCGACAACGCTAAAAGAATAAAGCAGTGCAGCCACTCAATAGATTTGAAGGTGGCACGGTTTGGTTTTAGGGATGTCTATCATGCTATGCATTTGGAGATTTGGTACCGAAAAATGGTACCTTAAATCAGTGCGGTTATATTGGTATTTTACATAACCATGTCTTGACATCAGAAAATAGACCTTTTCCAATCAATAACTGGTTTCTGCAATATGACAATGCACCATGTCATCAAGGATGTAGACTTAATCCAATTTTAAAAGAGTTTAATCATGCTGCTTTCTTAGAGCCTGAACAGAGCCCTGGTCTTAATGTCATTGAATATGCTTAAGACTTCATAAAACAGCAAAATACTTTTGATAAAAATCCAAAATGTAGTGATAGCATAATTGAAATAGCGAATATTCGGTCCAAATTGATTCCCAGCTTGATTCGATCAATTCCAGCTAGATTACAGGCAGTTGTTGATGCCAAAGGTGGTGTTACCAAATATTAATTATATTAATTAAATAAAAATAAAAAAAATTTTTAAAAATTCATCAATTAAGAAGAAGAAAATGAAATTAACGTTTTGTGTAAATACTTTTGACTACTAATAAGCATCAGCGCAGTTGCTTATATTTTTGTCAAATGAACAGTTATCTTTCAATTCTTTTTTTATTTGGTTCTGCATAGATAAAGCTAAGTGACAACAAAAAAATTTTTTGCAACTGACGTCCAACAACAACAATAAAAACATGTTTTTATGCAATATGTACAAAAACTTTCGTTGTGTAAATACTTTTGACTATGGCTGTAAATTGTTTTGGTGTAAACTACCTTAAGTCTATAATACCGCATTCGGTATTTTAACTGCTATAAATAATCAACAGAATTCAGCTACAGTATGCCGCCTTCAATAACAAGATGATATGATAATGAATTGCAATTGCAGTAAATATTTCAATGCGCATTTTTTCTTTTTTTTGTTGCTTTGTGCAATGATAGCAGTGCCAGACGTGATGTCCTTAGTTGTGACAACTTCTGAACAACAATTAAAATGCTCAACAATTGCCAGTGTAAAAGCCCTCATATTGTAGAACCATAAAATCAATCTGAATGGGGTGGATTAGATGGTCCGTTTTGTTGAATGTTTATTGCTTTTGGTTCGCTGATAGCCTTCGCATTCACGAGTAAAAAAAAGTTTTTTAATTTTTTCAATTAAAATTTTTTTATTTCAAGAAATTCTTAAACTTAAAAAAATATAACGAATTGTTGATATCAGTCGCGTATCTACAGGGAAGCGCCTGGAAGCAACGCTTTCGGGCCCCCGAATATAGGGGATCCCATTATAAATTTATGAATTCATTGTATTCTCAAAAGTGGGACGA